AACAAGTATCCCTGTGTGCAAGAGGGCATTCCAGTAACACTGGAGAACCCTAGCTCCATGTATCTGTCAACATATGCACTTTGTTCTTCTTGCTGTATTCTACTCTGCATTACACCTACATGGGTATTTGCTTTTTCCAAGTACAGAATGTACACTGCATTACCTCTGAATAAAGATGTTTGCTGAAATATACAGACCCTTTTTTTTTCTCAAGATAACCTAGTCAGCAAATTATGGAGCAAAGCAGGTGGTGAGTACTCACGGTCTGACTGCCCCAATAAACAGCCTGGTGTTTATCCAATGGCCAGCTGGTGTCATCTGTCCACTTTGCATTATGGAGACATGAAAAATGATGAATAGGGGTCACTTCCCAACCACTAGGAATGCTGTTCACTGCCCTGGCATTATGGGAATTTTCCCAACCTGCTCTGGGAAGATGTTACATGGTAAACTTTCATCAACTGCCAATGAAACCTGGCGACAACGAACTAGTTTCATGTTTGAGAAACAAAGTTTAAAACACAGTGAATTCACTTGATAATCTAAAGGAGAAATAGGTTGGGTATGCAGTTGGCATCACACTCCATTTACTTTCAAATGCCCTCTTTGACATGGAGGAAACCTGCTTGTCAATGAGACAAGAAAAACCTATGTATATTCTATACTCAGTAGACTTCTACTGACCCAGACTAATGAGAAGATGTTGTGCAGAGGAAAGAAATCAAAGTTCATTGACCACTCAAAGTGTTAGAAATCAGATTCCAAATCAGAATACTCATTCATATAATCTGTCATACAATTTTCTTCCTAAAAATGAGTTTTACTAACCCATTGTTTGCTACAATCACAGGCCAGGTGAGAAACAGGAACTTTCAAAAGACTGGACAGAATCACTAATAAATCAAAGGAGAGAACGGGTCAAAAGAGACTTCCCACAGAGACAGCTGTAGAAATTCATAAATGACTATTTGGATGTTTGACTACATTCTTAAACCAACCCACAAGTTTTGTGTATCTCAAATTGGTATTTCCAGTCACTTACTGGCTTCAACGTGACAGAGATGTGTATTTTCAAATTTTAAGTCATTTTTTAAAAATATTTTATTTATTTATTTGACAGAGAGAGACACAGAGAGAGAGAAAACACAAACAGGGGGAGTGGGAGAGGGAGAAGCAGGCCTCCCGCGGAGCAGGGAGCCCGATGCGGGGCTTGATCCCAGGACCCTGGGATCATGACCTGAGCCGAAGGCAGACGCCCAACGACTGAGCCACCCAGGTGCCCCTCAAATTTTAAGTCATTTTAAGTTAATGACTTAAACTTCTGGGAAAGAGAAATATGTCTTCCTGGCAGCACAAATGCCCAAGAAGACACTGTCAAGAGTCCTACAGAACCCTGATCATGGCTATGTGGAAATCTCTTGGCTCCACAATCTGAATGGGATGTTGACATTTTGCAAGGATGCTGAATGTTAACTGACATATATATATATATGTAATTAGCAGGCTTCTAGCCTGATGAGACTTCATACCAGTTTTTGTTTTTGTTTTTTTCAACCAAAACGAAGATATTTCTTTTGGTCTTATCCACTTAACTCTAAATAAAGTCTGAAATAAAGGGCATATACAACAATTAATAAATTCAGATGATGAAAAGAAAACTGTCAAATGTTACAAGAAAAATATTCACAGCTGATTTATTAAATATATCTCAACCTTTTTCTTTCTCTCTAAGCATTTAAATGAGTGTCAATTCCTGTAGGTATGGAAAGACTACGATAACATGTGGAGAGTCAAAGAGGAGCACTTCTCTGCTAAACTTCTATCAAAAGTCATCCAGAATTGCACAGAAGCTGAATTGCAAAATGTGCAACCAGACTACATTTTCAACTTCTCACTAGACAAAAGACTGCTTCAGCTACCAGGAAGCCAGCATGTTCTCATAAGCATGACCCTTGCTGATATCCCACAAATGATTAGGGAGCCATTCAGGTATGTAAAAACCACAAAGACTTCATGGAACTGATATGAACCAGTAGTAATTTCTATTTCTCCCCACAGAAATTGAGAGTGTAGGTCAATGTTGAAAATTAGTCCCTTCATAGGAATAAGACAAACAAACAAACCAACTCTAGAAGTGCTCTACAATGGTAAAATCGATACCTCTGAAAAAAAGGATTCTATATCCATTTTCAGTGGCTGAGGAAGTGTGGGGGGAGGAGGGGCAGTTTCCCCACACCACACCACGGAACTCTCCAACACCAGCTCGGTGTCCTAATATTCAACTCAATTCTGACGCTACCTAGAAGTAGTATCTGATTCCACAGGTAAAAGGCTCAGTCCTAAAAGACTGCCCTCCATTTCCGAGGCCAACTGTAAGCCCAGGTGAGCTATACTTCTAACTAACCAGCTACAAATCGGAGGTTCCAACATCCCTCTCTGAGGATGCCAATCGCAAGTCCACATTAAAACATTAAAAATGGTTACCTGTACTTCAGACCAATGGGCTATAAATCAGAGGTTCCCACAACCCCCTCCTTGGCTTTGATTAATTTGCCAGAGTGGCTCACAGAATTCAGGAAATGTGTTTTACTTAGTAGGTGACCAGTTTATTGTGAAAGGATGTAACTCAGGAATAGCCAGATAGAAGAGATGCATAGGTATAGGGAAAGGGCACAGGGTTTCTACCCACCATGTTCTCCAAATCTCCAAGTGTTCACCAACCTGGAAGCTCTCTGGGCCCCCAATCCTTTTGGGTTTTTATGGAGGCTTCTTTACGTATGTATGATTGATTAAATCATTGGTCACTGGTGTTGGATTCAACTTCTAGCCCTTCTCCCCTACCTGGAAATCATTTGGAAACCATTTGGTTTGGTTCCTCTGGCAACCAGCTCCCATCCTTAGGTGCTTTCCACAAATCACCTCATTAACATAAACCCAGTTGTGGAGGAAGGCAGCTTGTTAGGCTTGTTATGAATAACAACACACCTATTCCTTTTCTTTTCTTTTCTTTTCTTTTGAGTCAAAACACACCCATTTCACCTATCTGGAAGCGATTTCAGCAACTGAGGGCAAGAGAACAAATGTAACCAAAGATGCCGCCTTGCTCTTATTACTCAGAAAGTTCCAAGAGTTTTAGCAGCTCTGTGCCAGAAATGGGAAGAATATTTATTTCTAATTATAGATCACAATGTAACCCTCTGCAATACTACAGAAGGCACAGAACAAACTGTGAAAAAGTCCTCAGCCCTATAGACATAACATATCATGACAAGCCTCTAATATCTGCTATGAGATGACAAAGCCTGACAGGCATTTTTCATTAGGACTCAACCATACAAATGATCTTGTTTCCACAGCGGGAGGTTGGGAGGAAGAAGTAGTATGGTTATTCTAATACTCATTATTCTTTTCATATTTTGTAAGAATGCTCTTTGCACAATTCCCCCAGGGCAGAGAACAGTAATAAATGTGCATTATAAGTAAAATAAGCTTATACCTTATTTTGAATGGTTATGTGCCAGATACTTCACTAATCACTTTTATATAACCAATTTAACTCTCACAATCTGAGAGTGAAAAGTAGGTTTTATTACCCCCATTTTAAAGCCAAGGGAAAGTATGCTTCCACAAGTTAATTAATTTTCCTGAGATTGTCTAGCAGGTGAGTAGCAGACTTGAAATTCCAACCTGGCTGACTTTAGACTCCAGGTTCAAACCTTTATACTATTCTTCCTGAATTCAAAGAAAAGCAACACAAAAGTGACCTTATTTGCCTCTGTTAATAAATTATACATATATTACCACAATTCAAAAATTATTTGGTAATATTAGAAGCCACTATTAGTTGTAACTACTCAGTCAAAAAGGATGTAGCTAATACAATATGTTGTTGACCTCTATTTAATTAAACAAATACCTTTCATGAGATAACTGATTACACTGCTTGATAATGTATATATCTGTCCAATTATGGCAGTGGTTAAAAAGAAAGAAGAACTGATAAAAAGAAGGAAGAAATAAAGAAGAGGGAGGAAGGAAAGAAAGGAAGAAAGTGAGAGAGAAAAGGGCATGGAGGGAGTGAAAGAGGGAAAGTGAGAAAGGGGGGTCATGGGGGAGACAGAAGGAGGGAGAAAAGGAAACCATTGCTGAATGTCAATCCCATGTGGAAGCCACTCTGAATAGCCACTCTGAATCCACTTTGTAATTTCCTTGGGTTCTATGGATTACACTTCACTTCATAAGTCAAAACATTTCACTCCACACACCAAGAGCATTATAAATGGGATAGACACACTTGATATTCTTCCAAGAGACTGATTTTTTTTTCTAAACTGTAAGATAAAGGTTTAAAATGTCACTTTTCTCATTCCCATGTAACTTACATATTTTCTAAATCACCCTTCATTTCAAACAACCTATTGTACTAGAAGCTTGGCAATGAAGGAAAGACACCACCTTTAACAGTTTTGTAAATCTTGACAATTTATATGTAAAAATGGTTCCTTAGAAATGTCAGTATTATGTCTAGAACTGATTCTGGTCAAATGCTATATAAATGAAAAGATTTGGTTTTTTTTTTTTCTTTAACTTGGAGAGAATTGCAGCCTTGAAATCTTTACAAGGTATAGTATTTGTTAATAATATATAAAAGCATGTTACATATCGACCTCAAAAAAGGCAAATAAAACTTATTTGGTATTGATAAGTTGAAGACTACCCAGAGGAATTCTGTATGCTCTGTCTTGATAAATTGAAAACTGCAGAGAAAGCTCTAGGTTCACTGTATTGCATTTAGGAATAATCATATAGTTTTCTTTCGGAGTATGCGGCCTTATAATAAATCAAGGCAAAAGCTTACCTTGCAGCAATGTGGCATCTGACTTCAATATAAGTATTCAAAGGTAGGAAAGCTGTGTTTCTCTCCCTTGGGAGAATGACCTGTTAGAGAGCGGTCACGTCATAGGGCAGATCACTTAGCAACACGTTTCTTTGCCACATACCTCGGTCATTCTGGCAGATGGCCTTCAGGATGCGATGCCCCAGGCCACATTTTCCATGATCAGGGATACAGATCCCTTCAGACGCCAGCCATCGGTAACACACTGGATCCTCACAAGGAACAGACTCCACCAAATGAGGGCAGTGGCCTGCCGGCCCTGTGGATTCCATGAGAACATGGCGCCGTCTCAGTCTAAACCCTGAAAGGAAAGAAAAACAAAAGTTTCACAGGATTCCATCTTTATCCATCAGAAGAAAAGCAACCGCAACTAGAAAAGAGATGAAACTTTTATTTCATTCTCTATAGTTCCAAAAGGTGTATTATTTTAAGGTGTTTTCTATTATGGAAAATGGAAGGGGGATACGAAAAGAAAGGGAAAGAAAATGGACAAGAACTAGAGCAGAAAATCTGTCCTCCAAGACTTAACAACCTTGGAGAGGCCACACATAATCAAATGGAGTAGTAAGTAGCTTATGCCCAATGGCCTCCATAACCATTAGAAGTAAATGAAGACTCTCAGAAAGAGCCTCAACATAGATAAATCCACATTTTATTTTTTTCTGTTGTTCTTGACATTCTGATTACTCCGCATTAGCTGAAATGCATCTCCATTTTGGCATATCCTTGGTAACCAAGAAATTCACAGCGTTATGCCCTGAGATTTCCCTGCCTCCCTTCCCTGAGATTTCCAGGTCAGCCTGCTCTATGAGGACAGTACCTCTTTGGACCACATTCCCCACCTTGGCTCGACATGGGTCCCTGGACTATTATTCAGTTAAAATAAATGTAATGTGGGACTAGGGCCCAGTGCCTGACTATAATAAGGATATAAATGGGCCTTACACACTACGAGCTTACAGATCCACAAAGTCAGTGTTGCAAGAGTCAAGCAGGTACAAATTGAGGGAAACGAGTCAACCATACAACTGCAGAGGGTGCTGAGGTGTGCAGTGAAGTGGAGGGTTGCTCTAAAACAGCTTTTGTGGACTGTTGCCATGAGGGAATGTGGACTCTCTGTTAACTAATCTTCTAATTTTTGTCCAAGAAGATGAAATTCCAAGTTGTGTTTTGTTTTTATATGATATCTCTCCATGTTTAACTAACTTATCTTCTTAAAAAACAAAGTGGCCTAAAAGAAAAAAAAAGTGACTGAGAACTAGATACGACCCTTTAGTCTGTGAGTTTTCTATTTCTGGCCCTTACGACACATCACTTTTGAAGGCTATGCCTGCCTTCCATGGATTTCATATTTTACTTCCATTCTCTCATGCACCAAATTCTGTTTACCAGTTTAATTCCTTTAATTCCTTTTATTTTTAACAAAACCGATCTTATTGGGTGATAACATTTTAAGGAATTATTCACTTATTCCTCTGGGTAGTTCAAGGAGAGACAGACAGACATACTGACAGATAGACTGTGATAGGAAAATAGAGAGTATGAGAACACTGAATTCCCAGCATGAGAGTTAGATACCCCCACTACCCTTCCCACAAGAGGCGGGGAGAAGGACAAGTTAGGGAGCATGAGAGGTAACAAAGCCAGGTATAAGCCTCTCCCAGATTTCCCGAGGCCATGCCTATCTTCCCACCAATAGTAATGAAATGAAAAGGTTCTAAAGCTCAAGGCGTAGTTGGCAAAAGACGGGCTCCTGGAAAACCGCACAGCCCAGGAGATTTGAACTAATGGACACATGGTTTTAGGCCACAAGAGGGAGCCGAGCTTCCTTAGAATATTACAGGACTGGACAAGGATTTTTAGATTAAGTCTCAAGTGTTTTATCTGGGTTTTTTTGGTCCAAGGTTAACCTATGAACTCCTTCCCCCCCCCCATTTATTTATTTATTTATTTATTTATTTATTTATTTATTTATTTATTTATTTTATTTATTTAGAAAGGGGGAGAGAGAGGGAGAAAAGGGAGGGGACGGCCAGAGGGGGAGGGAGAGAGAGAAACTTAAGCAGGCTCCACACCCAGCACAGAGCCTGACAGGGGGCTCGATCTCACAACCCTGAGATCATGACCTCAGCCAAAATCCAGAGTGGGACACTTAACCTACTGACCCACTCAGGAGCCCCTGAGCTCCTTTTAAGAGGGATTCTTCGATTCTTACGTTGACGATCAGCCACGTGGGGGAAGGCATTCAGCCAATCAGAGACCACATTCATGATCATGGCATTGAAAATATTAAGGTCAGGGACAATTAAAATAATAGATGGCTTCTTCCATACTTCATACCTATAAATCTGTATCATTAATTAGTTAAAACAAAATCTTCAGAAGGTTCAGCTCCCTTCCTGAGCCACCTTCAGAAGAGACACAGGAAACATACAAGGTTTCCAACTACACTTGATAGTCATCCAATTACAATGAGCTCCAAGTGCTCACCGCCACACAACTTGGATGACTTCTATTCTTACATGTAATGTCCATATGCTGCTTATTTACAATCTTATGTTTGTCCTTGTTTAGTTCATCTGTTTGAGCAGGACAAAGCATGGGTCTCCATGATTTATAAGTTTTAACAACTGTCTCAGAAACTTGGTCATCTTTGCTGAGGATTCTGGGTGTCCTAGTACCTAGAGCTTAATGCCATTGAGAGGTATGTGCAGTTTCCCTCTATAAATCAAATTGCATCCATCTCATCGTAAATCTATAGAGTACATCTCCTTAGTCAATAAATTCTTCCAGTCTTTCATTTGTGCTGCCCTTGTCCTGACTGTAACTAGGATCAAATCACAGCACAAGCTCAGCATAAAACAAAAACCTTGGAGTCTCTTGTTAGTGCTTAACTTTAATCACACACATGTTCATGCCTGCAATAGACATCAGGCTTCCCCTGGGTGCTTCTGTTCTGAAAGATACACAACTGCCAAGTCCGCAGTGGCTGGGGCCAGCCAACCACTTACCTTCATTTACCGAATTCCATATTAACCAGATCGTATCATTCAGTAAACATTAACTGCCATATGTAGATCATTGTAATGTACTGTGGGAAGCCACAAGAGGAACAGAAAACATAAATCTATTCTTCACAGAACATATAGTCCAACAAGAGGAAAAGGCGCATGCATTAATTAAACATCTACCCTATCCCAAGATGGTGCCAGCCACTTTACTTATATTACCCCAAATTAAAAAATCTTCAAAACTATTTTGCAAGTTGTTATTCTCATTTTATGCATGTGAAAACTAAGATCAGATGAGACGTTACTACTGCTCCCAAGGCTCATTATTGATTAAATGGATATGTATGAAATTCAGCCAAGGACTTTTTGAGTCATCACCTCTTCATGAGAAAGCATTCAAGTCAGCTCTTGTGCGTGATGTGTTCTAGCCCCACTCCATACAGTGAATCTGCAGGGACTATGCATCATTTCCTCCAAAGGAAGGTGGGTGTATGATTGGATAGTGGAATTTTAGGCACGAGGCATCAAGAAGGAGTTTTAATAATCACTTAATGACTATAGATTCAATCCACTTTTAATGAAACTGGTATTTGCAGGATTTTTTTTCTTTCATGAACCCAAAGTTTAGTATATATTCTACTGGCTTACTATTTATTCTACTGAATTTTAGAAAAGAGTGAATTGTGGGTTGGGGAGAGAAAAGGGACAAAGCACAAATGGCAGAAGATGGGCCAAAGTTTTTTTAAATGAAGCCATGGGAAAATTAAAGGAGACATGGGAGGTAAATCTAGGTCTGAGGATTGTACCTCCTCAGGTGCTAGTGTCCCCGAAGTGTCCCCATAAGCTTCTCCGGAGCTATGTATGGCCAATACTGTGTCTCCACACTAACACCACTGGACAGGCTTGAAGCAGCAGCTTGCAGGTTGACTGAGGATGACAGAAGCTTATTCCATCTCAGGCATCCATGTGCTCCTCATCTCTGGCAGCTTTGGGCATGGGGTAACAACTCTGAACAAAAGACCCTGAGCACATTGATTCCAGCTCTTTAGAAACCAACCACCATTCCTGCAAGTGCAGCATTTTACAGTATCATTATTAGTTTGCACCCTGCTGTGAATACAGAAAATAAGAAAAAGCAATGATAGGGCAATGGTGATTATGAGAACTCTCAACACTTAGAATGAGAAGTAGGCACACACCCCCACCCCCACTCCTAACACACACAGACATAAAACAAAAAAGGAAAAGAAAAAACTATAGCATACATATTTTCTGTAACAAAGCAAAATGATTTTATAGACTTCTCATTAAAAGTGGATCTATGTAGCAGGCAAGGATGGAAAATGGAAATTTTCCCCCACTGTTGTTATATAAGATCTAATACAGGCAGTATTTTCCTGATTTGGCGTGTTATCTAAATTGATTTGTTTCAGAGCATAAAAGACTGTCTTTGTTAAGAGAGTCATGGCTTCTCAGTTTCAAGATGTCTTTTCCTATGGGGATTTTAGAACTTTAAATGTGTGACTTGGGGGTAAGACCATACTGGGGGTGTTAAGGAACCCGTGAAGTCCTACCACATAAGCAGTTACCTATTGTGACACTGTATCGGGAAGCCTCCACCAAATTTTTCTTTAAAACAACTTCTGTAGGCAAGGATGTCTTTCTAGAATATGTCTGAAAGGGACAAGGATGTCATATAAATGTATGTCTCTGTATCAAAAAGAATTTTTAAAAATGTATCATACTTTGTATAGAGTTCACCCATCAGCAATTTTTTCAGGTTATTTCTCTTTCATATATCTCTAATTATAACTCCCTGGGAGTGTATCAAAGATAAAGCAATGAATGATAAAACCTGATCCAATTTAAATTCCTCTGAAATACGTCCTAGCTTCACTTGACAAGTACCAACCTGCTGAGTACTGTTCCCCTTGTCTGCCTATTAGAGACCTGGTGGAAAGTGAGAAGGCTGGGGACAACAGCTGATTTTCTAACGTACTCCAAACGGCTGACAGCCACAAAGCTTACAGGGTTCCTGACTGAAGGGTGCCTGCCTTAAAATAATAGCCATAGTAAGATCATCTCTAGGGTAACTAATTTCTTCTGTTAGGTAATACAACATTAATGGCTTTTCCATCCTTTTCTACTATTTTTTTAATGTGAACAAAAGGAACATGCCAAAGCAATAACACAGTGACTGGGAAAAAGACTAGTGAATAGAAAAAAGTAATTATCTCCAACTTTACACATTCATTTTCTTGCTATTGTTTGCCAGTATTTCCCTCAAATCCTCTATCATATAAAATAGAGTATAAAATAACTAAGGATATATATATATGTATATATATATATATATATCTCCTAGATTTTTGCTACTAGGTTCACTGCATTTCTTTAGGGTAGGGAATTCAAATGTGAAGCTAAACAGTCCAGTTTACATCCCAGAGTTTTGTGATGTTTAATGCATTAGCTTGTGTATTCTGGCCTCTGTGGAATTCTGAATTACATTTCGTTTGTGTCGGTCAGCGGCTCTGGCAGACCCCATGGTAGGACCGTGGGACAGTCTGAGATTGAGAAGATCCCAGACCTCATGCCCGCAAGTCAGTAGAAATAAAAAAGAAGATTATTTACCATCATCGTAACATGCTTGGACTCCTTGTAGGCACAGAATCATTTCCCTAGAGGGAAAACTCCATTCCTTATTTTTTCCAGGAGGGATTAGAGGCAGGTAGTCCTGGCAGATTTTAGCAAGACCTTAAAAATCAAAATCGTCTCTGCTCTGGGAAGCATTTATAAAATGCCAAACTCCCAGACCTGAATAACAATCATTGCTGTGTATAGGCTCTTCTGTCTGGGATTACTTAGTGCCTAGGGCAGGTCATTTAGCCTAAGTATGGGCCCTGTAGAACAGAGACTGTTTCTCATCAATCCCAACATGACCCTACACATTTCAGGCGGTTGTGGTAACACTAAGACCTTCAGGTGAGAAGCTTTATTGTCTCCGCTCTTTCCTTCAGCTCCAAAGGCTGAGCCTTTCTTGGAAAAACTTACTGTTTGAGGCAAAAAAACACACATTCCAGTTACCTGCTGCTCGCAAGCTAATCTTAGAACACCCTTCTTTTCTCACACAACTGCAGTCTACTTTCCCTCTCCCTCCAAAGGTGACACACTGGAACTAAGACAAATCCCATGCCCCATGCCTTATCTCTTACATCAGTGCAATGATTGGCTCTCAAGACTAATGCGTCCCACTGGCCAATGGGGTGAATGTGGGCAGAGCACTTCCCTGCTAAGCTTGGTACTGGACTTGCGCCTTGATCCAAATTTCCTTAGGCTACAGAGGGAATCACTAAAGAAGCCCAGTGTTTGAAGGAATACTAGACTAGGGAGACAGGAAACCAGGTTCTTAGTACTGGCTTGGCCATTATTAAATCCCTGTGGGATTTAGGACAAATGGGCTCACTTCTCTATACTTTAGTTTTGAAGTATTATGAAGTATCATATCCTTGCTGAGCCTAAATGCTGATGCAAAGTTTGGCAGTATGTTAGTATCTTAGGGCTGCCAAAAGAAAATACAGCACTGGGTGATGTAAAACAACAGAATTTTTTTGTCTCACAGTTCTGGAGTCTAGAAGCCCAAAATCAAAGTGTCAGTAGAGCCATGCTCCCTCTGAATGTTCCACAGAAAGACTGCTCCCATGCCTCTCCCTAGCTTCTGGTGGTTGTCGACAATCCTTGGCATTCCTTGGTTTATACACGCATTACTCTAACATCTGCCTTTGCATAGCATTCTCCTCTGTGTATCTCTGTGTCCAAATTTCCCTCTTTCTATAAAGACATCAGTCACTAGAATAGAGCTTATCCTAATCCATTATGGCCTCATCTTAACTTGAGTCCATCTGCAATAACCCTGTTTCCAAATAAGGTCATATTCACATATACAAGGTGTTAGGAATGAAGATTTTTTTTTAAGGACACAATTCAACCCACAACAGGTGATGTCTAATGAATGATGGACTAGGGTGAATTTGCAAGAGTTGACCCATACAATAGATGAACAGGGGCGAAGAAAAGGTTTGGCATTGAAGCATCTTGGGCCCAGGGGGCAAGCAGAGGGGTCTGAATGTTGTGAGTTTCCCAGCTGAGTTCCATGGACCAGTTCAGAGTTATGTGGAAAAGGAAGATTGAAAGAAAAGTTGAAAGAGCACTTCTCACAAAAGTTTTTGTGAAAATTTGCTCAAGTAACAATTACAACACAGAATGAGGAAGAAAGCATTCTCTGAATTGCTGTAAAAATTCTATGGCCCAGAACAAAGGGGAGAAAGCATTTAATAAATATCTATTAAGTTTAACCTCAGCATTACTTCTACCATCTTGTAGTATTAGCATCTCATATTTCCTTAAGGGAGCCATCCCTTCCTGACTCTCAGTGGTGAGACTTGGCCAGCCTTGTCCCTCTAGTAGTGGACACATGCCTAGGAGTTGGCCAATCAGAGTGACTGGGTCAGGGTTATCAAATGAAAGCAGCCAATGAGATTCAATTCCAGGACTCTTCCTGGAAGTATTAAGGAAGACATTTCTTTCTACTTCCTAGGATCTAAAATCAAAATTACCTCTTTTTTCTTTTTGTGGTGAGAATTTTAAAGATTTACTCTCTTAGCAACTTACAAGTATATAATACAGTACTGTTGATTATACTTTTCATGCTACACATTGGATCCTCAGAACTTAAACTAACCTTATTAACTAGACATTTGTATCCTTTGATAAACATCTCCCCATTTTCCCCACCACCCAGCCACTGGTAACCATCATTCTACTCTGTGTTACTATAATTTCAGGTTTTTTAGAATCTACATATAAGTGAGATCATACAATATTTGCCTTTCTCTGACTTATTTCACTTTGTATAATGTCCTCAAGTTTCATCCATGTTGTCACAATGGCAGGGTTTCCATCTTTTTTATGGCTAAATAATATCACTATAAATATGTGAGCATATGTGTGGGTGCAAGCACATGCACATGTGTGTATATATCATATTCCCTTTATTCATTTATGCATCAATAGTCACTTAGGTCATTTCCATATCTTTACTATGTGGACAACACTGCAATAAACATGGGGATTCAAACAGTAGATCTTGAATTGGGTTTCTGTCACTTACAACAAAAATTATAAAATAATATGAGGCCCACTTGGCCTGGTTGGGTTCTACAGCTTTGAAAGCAAAAGGCAGCACTCAGGATAGCAAAGTTGCGTGAGTATCTACAGCCATGGCCACAGTAGCTGGCAGAGCCTGAGTCCAATCTTCCATGATTTTCTAGACAACAATCTAAATGGATTGGCACAGGTTGAACATAGGAGGGCTGGTTCCAATAACATGTAAGTCACCCTGGGGAGTCTCATATGCAGCTACAGGAGACTCACAAGGTCCAGTTTAATGGGAAATTATTTTTAATAAAAATAATACAAAATAATTCCTAAACTGAAGAGGTTTAGGGGACATTCTGGCTACAAGTCTAAATAAAAAGCAGCACGGGCCTCTTCACTGCACCCCTCCAGGTTCTACTGAGATCCAGTTTTCAATTATTTGATAAAAGAGTTAAAATTAGCTTCTTCCTCCTCAACCTAGACTCCACACACATCCTCTTGTCTTAGAATGAAAAGTCAGAATAAAGAGAAAAGCCCAGGGCATGGGTGTGTGAACTTGGACGTGCCTATGTGTGCATGTGAGCAATCTGGGAATTGCTAAACTGTGGGCTTTCAAATGGACACAGAATCAAGTTGAGAGCACTAGCTTTGTAGCATCAAGCACTTGGCCAGGTGTTCTTTCTTCGCATGTGATATCTAGGGTTAGTGCTTGGCAAACACAACCTAATTTCTGGAATGTCCTTGAAGCTCATTTCTCTTAGAAAAAGGAATATTTCTTTTTAGCATTGCTACTTAAGGGAACATAGTATCAATACAAACTGAAAGGTCAATGAAAGAGAGGTCAAGGTGTCACCAAAAACGAACTTTTGAATACAGAGATGTGTGTGTAACAGCAAATGAAAGGAAATAAGACTACAGAGGCCTACAAAATTAAACAAGCATATAAAGTTTGAAGACTCCACTTTTAGCCCAAAGATATCAAAAAGTAAACAACACACATAAATGCCCTCGTGAAAATGTGAAATAGAACATCAAATTCAGCATGAGGAAATCTGAAAATAGATAGATAGGCAAAATAGTTGTTTCCTGGTGTGATTACAGAAATCACGTCTAATTTCCTCAGTATAACCATTACACATATAAACATTGTTATACCATATTTGAGTAATAGTCACATCACCAGCTATGAACCTAACTGGAAGGTCAATCAAGGTCAGATTCTTGCTTCATGGACATGTCCCCAGCAGCCTCCCAAATAACTGAATGCTCTCAGGCTTGAGCTGGTTATCTACATTTTATAAATAAATATTGTCTTAAGCAGGCTTAATTGGCTACTTAGCTACCAGAATAATTGTGTGTACACTGGAAGTAAATGAAGCAGACACAAACAAGACACTCACCTTTTCTCCCCTGAGGATCACGGCAGTTTTCATGGATGCACAGGCCCCAGGCTGACCAGGAAGATACTATACAGTCTGTAGAGCAAGGGATATTGCAGAGCTGAGAGGCTGACGGGGCAGGTCCCAAACATAATGTCTTTTTCACAGGTCTAGAGACTAAAGGATAAAAATAAATAAATAAAATAATGGTCTATGTCACATTCAATGGATACCCCTAGAATTATTAATGCCTTTATTTATGTGCCTACCTTACCCACATCACCTTTCTGGTTAAAGAGTATATACAGGGGAGGAGCAAGATGGTGGAGGAGTAGGAGACCTAAATTTGGTCTGGTCCCAGAAATTGAGCTAGATAGGGATCAAACCATTCTGAACACCTACAAACTCAACAGGAGATCGAAGAAAAGAATAGCAGCAACTCTCTGAACAGAAAAGTGACCACTTTCTAAGGTAAGCCCTGTGGAGAAGTGAATCCGAGGTGATATTCAGGAGGATAGACAGTAGGGGAGGGGGCCCCATCGGCCGTTTCTGGCAAGTGATAGAGACATGGAGCACAAAATCGGAACTTTTAGAAGTCTGCTCCGCTGAGGGACGTTGCTCCAGTGGCTAAGCGAGCGGTGGAACCCTCGCTGGGACAGTGTGGTCTCAGGACCCTCGGGGTCACAGAAAGACCGGGGGTGCCTGAGTGCGGCAGAGCTCCCAGGTATCAGAGCGGGGAAGCCGGCTGCAGAGATGGAGCCAAGGAGTGGGCTCTCAGCTCGGGGGCTGCCATAAACTGAGATCTGCAGCACAGTCGGGCCACTGCTCCTCCAGCAGGGACCCAACAAGCGGCAGATCCGGGGAGACACTCCTTCCTCCCCCGGGAGGAGCGGCACAGGAGCGCACCGTTGGGTTTGGAGACTCCACCTGGGGTCAGGTGCCAGAGATAGAAACGCTCGGTCACAGGCCAGGTGAGCACGGAGTGCAGCCAGAGACTGGGGAGACGGGAGTGATTGACTGCTTTTCTCTGGGGGCGCACTGAGGAGTGGGGCCCAGAGTTCTCGGCTCCTCCAGGGCGGAGATTGGGAGGCTGACATTTTCACTCTCCTCCTCCAAAGCTGGACAGAAAGCTTGCAGGGAACGTAAGCTCCCGAGAGCAAACCCGAGCAGATTACTTAGCCCGGACGGGCAAGGGTGGGGCAATTCCGCCTCTGGCAAAGACATTTGGGAACCACGGCAACAACCCCTCCCCCAGAAGATCAGCAAGAACGGCCAGCCAAGACCAAGTTTACCCATCAATGACAAAGGCAGAACGCCAGCACTAAGGGAATACTGCACAGAGAATTCAGGCTTTCTTTCCCATGATTCTTTAGTCTTTCAAAGTTAATTTTTTTTCTTTTTTTTTTTTTGAATTTTTCTTTTTCCCTTTTTCAACCTACATCTTATCAATCCCTTTTTTTAAAAATCTTTTTTATTTTTCATTATTAGAGTCATATTCTATCCCTTCATACTAGTTAACCTTATTTTTGGTATATATCTAAGTTGTTCTCTCTTTAAAATTTTGGGATACAATTTCTTCTAACACACCAAAATACATCCTAAATCTCTAGAATATGGCTTTGTACCAGTCTCCTACCTTATCACATTCTCTCCCCTTTTTTTTTTTAATTTCTCTTCTTGCTTTTTTCAACCAACTTATCTTATAATTCCTTTTATAAAATCTTTTATAATTTTCATCTTTACAGTCATATTCCATCCCTTCATCATATTTATCCTTATTTTTGTACATATATAAGCTTTTCTTTCTTTAAAATTTTGGGAGGAAGTTCCTTTAACAGACCAAAATATGCCCAAAATCTAATGCGTGGAACTGATCTATTCACCAGCCTGATCATATCTGACCATATTCTTTTTTTTTTTTTATCTTTTCCTTTTCCTTTTTTTTTTCTTTTTTCTTTCTCTCTCTTTCTTTTCCCCCAGTTTCAGGTCTTTTCTGATTTGTTTAGTGTATATTTTTCTGGGGTCGTTGTTACCCTGTTAGCATTTTGCTCTGTCATTCATCTATTCTCTTCTGGACAAAATGACAAGATGTAAAAAATCACCTCAACAAAAAGAACAAGAGGCAGTACTGACTGCCAGGGACCTACTCAATACAGACATTAGTAAGATGTTGGAACTAGAGTTAAGAATGACAATTATAAAGATACTAGTTGGACTTCAAAAAAGCATGGAAGATATCAGAGAAACCCTTTCTGGAGAAATAAAAGAACTAAAGTCTAACCAAGTCAAAATCAAAATGGCTATTAATGAGGTGCAATCAAAAATGGAGGCTAGGATAAATGGGTCAGAAGAGAGAATTAGCGATATAGAACACCAAATGATGGAAAATAAAGAAGCTGAGAAAAAGAGAGAGAAACAACTACTGGATCACGGGGGCAGAATTTGAGAGATAAGTGATACCATAAGACGAAACAATATTAGAATAATTGGGATCCCAGAAGTAGAAGAAAGAGAGAGAGGGGCAGAAGGTATATTGGAACAAATTATAGCAGAGAACTTCCCGAATTTGGGGAAGGAAACAGGCATCAAAATCCAGGAGGCACAGAGAACCCCCCTCAAAATCAATAAAAATAGGTCAACACCCCAACATCTAATAGTAAAACTTATGAGTCTCAGAGACAAAGAGAAAATCCTGAAAGCAGGTCAGAAGAAGAGATCTGTAACCTACAATGGTAGAAACATTAGATTGGCAACACACCTAACCACAGAGACCTGGCAGCCCAGAAAGGACTGGCAGGATATATTCAGAGAACTAAATGAGAAAAATATGCAGCCAAGAATATTATATCCAGCTAGGCTGTCATTGAAAATAGAAGGAGAGATAAAAAGCTTCCAGGACAAACAAAAACTAAAGGAATTTGAAAACACCAAACCAGCCCTACAAGAAATATTGAAAAGGGTCCTCTAAGCAAAGAGAGAGCCTAAAAGTAACATAGATCAGAAAGGAACACAGACAATATACAGTAACAGTCACCTTACAGGCAATACAATGGCACTAAATTCATATCTTTCAATAGTAACCCTGAATGTAAATGAGCTAAATGCCCCAATCAAAAGACACAGGCTATCAGACCGGATTAAAAAACAAGACCCATCGATATGCTGTCTGCAAGAGACTCATTTTAGAACCAAAGACACCCCCAGATTGAAAGTGAGGGGGTGGAAAACCATTTACCATGCTAATGGACACCAAAAGATAGCTGGGGTGGCAATCCTTATATCAGACAAATTAGATTTTAAACCAAAGACTGTAATAAGAGATGAGGAAGGACACTATATCCTACTTAAAGGATCTATCCAACAAGAAAATCTAACAATTGTAAATATCTATGCCCCTAACATGGGAGCAGCCAATTATATAAGGCAATTAATAACAAAAGCAAAGAAACACATTGACAACAATACAATCCTAGTGGGGGACTTTAACACCCCCCTCACTGAAATGGACAGATCATCTAAGCAAAAGATCAACAAGGAAATAAAGACTTTAAATGACACACTGGACCAAATGGACTTCACAGATATATTCTGAACATTCCATCCCAAAGCAACAGAATACACATTCTTCTCTAGTGCCCATGGAACATTCTCCAGAATAGATCACACATCCTAGGTCACAAATCAGGTCTCAACCAGTACCAAAAGATTGGGATCATTCCCTGCATATTTTCAGACCACAATGCTTTGAAACTGGAACTCAATCACAAGAGGAAAGTCGGAAAGAACTCTAATACATGGAGGCTAAAGAGCATCCTACTAAAGAATAAATGGGTCAAACACGAAATTAAAGAAGAATTAAAAAAATTCATGGAAACCAATGAAAATGAAAACACAACTATTCAAAATCTTTGGGATGCAGCAAAGGCAGTCCTAAGAGGACAGTATATAGCAATACAAGCCTTTCTCAAGAAACAAGCAAGGTCTCAAATACACAACCTAACCCTACACCTAAAGAAGCTGCAGAAAGTGGCATACCTGGGTGGCTCAGTCGGTTAAGCGTCTGCCTTCAGCTCAGGTCATGATCCCAGGGTCCTGGGATCAAGTCCCGCATTGGGCTCCCTGCTCCGCGGGGAACCTGCTTCTCCCTCTGCCTCTGTCTCTTTCTCTGTCTCTCATGAATAAATAAATAAAATCTTTAAAAAAAAAAAAAGAAGCTGGAGAAAGAAGAGCAAATAAAGTGTAAACCCAGCAGAAGAAGAGAAATAATAAATAACAGAGCAGAAATCAATGAAATACACATAAAAGAACAGTAGAGCAGATCACGAAACTAGGAGCTGATTCTTGGAAAGAATTAATAAGAATGATAAACCCCTGGCCAGGCTTATCAAAAAGAGAAGAGAAAGGGCCCAAATAAATAAAATCATGAATGAAAGAGAAGAGGCAACAACCAACACCAAAGAAATACAAACAACTCTAAGAACATACTATGAGCAACTCTATGCCAGCAAATTAGATAATCTGGAAGAAATGGATGCATTCCTAGAGATGTATCAACTACCAAAACTGAACCAGGAAGAAATAGAAAACCTGAACAGACCTATAACCACTAGGAAACTGAAGCAGTAATCAAGACTCTCCCAACAAACAAGAGCCCAGGGCCAGACAGCTTCCCAGGGGAATTCTACCAAACATTTAAAGAAGAATTAATACCTATTCTTCTGAAACTGTTCCAAAAAATAGAAATGGAAGGAAAACTTCCAAACTCGTTTTATGAGGCCACCATTACCTTGATCCCCAAATCAAAGATCCCATCAAAAAGGAGAATTACAGACCAATATCCCTGATGAACATGGACGCAAAAATTCTAACCAAAATACTAGCCAATAGGATCCAACAGTACATTAAAAGGATTATTCACCACAACCAAGTGGGATTTATCCCTGGGCTGCAAGGTTGGTTCAACATCCGCAAATCAATCAATGTGATACAATACATTAACAAAAGAAAGAACAAGAATCATATGATCCTCTCAATAGATGCAGAAAAAGCTTTTGACAAAGTACAGCATCCTTTCTTGATCAAAACTCTTCAGAGTATAGGGATAGAGGGTACATACCTCAATATCATAAAAGCCATCTATGAAAAACCCATAGCCAATATCATTCTCAATGTTGAAA